TCCAACAAAAAGGAACAACAATGTCTTTATAACATGCCGATCATCTTAACCTACCTTCGCAATAAGGAACTGAGCTAACACAAGCAACTGGAACTTTCATACAAGAATCTTTCAGTTGAATTGGTTTCTCTAGGCTACGTAAGTCGAATGAATATACACACACTCCAGTAGCCACAATCAAATTAAATCCAGAGAGAGACATGGACACCACATCTGAACCCATATTTCTTACAATTGACAGAGCTTTTACTGTACGTGTGTCCCACAACAGTATCTTTCCATCCAAACCAGCTGATACTATTTGGCCTACAAAAACAAAGAGAGCAGATTCTTTAGAACGCAAGGACACAGTGATAGAACCTATAAAACAGATCCTATCCAAGTAAGGTCGTTAAAGAGAGTAGATTCTGTTCAATACCAAAGTAAGAAAGGACCTCAAAACTTTTCTGAACACAGAATTTATATGTGCAACCATCACAATCATAATGCAGCACAAGGCGGTTTGCAAGCTTTTGTAAATAAATATCCTATACGATAGCTATTCCTTTTATAAAAAGCACTGCTCATTGGCTTGGGTTTTTCTCCCCTCTTTGTACATTTCATTTATCAATGAAATACATGTCTCTTCCAAAAATAATAATAATAATAAGAAAAGATCCTATACAATAGCATTTTGCTAATTACTGAGATGCTGTTATTTTTGCTTATTGGTTTTTTCTGAGTTAGTTTCCTTGAATATCTCTTGAATTATTTCAATAAAGAGTTTATTTTTTTGTTAAAAAAAAGAAAAAAAAAATATACAAGTTAAAGGACATAACAAGCTGTATGATCGTCAATACTCTTGCAGGAGAACAGAGACTACCATTTTCTTCATAATATTTGGGAACTTTTTATGTCACAGATCTGTTCTGTTGAATTTTTATGCAAAAGTAATCTAGCAACATCTACAAGCACAAATATAGCAAGAGAGGAAGAAAATTATTTATAAGAAAACCATCTTGTTCCAAAGAAGGACAGAGTGGAGAAGTGAGATCTCCATCCGATCAGTCTTATTACCATCACTTACAAGATTTTAGCAAAAGTGTTAGCAGAAAGACTCAACAAGGTTATCTCATCCACTATTTCTTGTAATCAGAGCGCTTTTATAAGTGGAAGGCAGATTCTCAACCTTGTTCTCATTGCAAATGAAGTGGTAAATGATTATCGATGTAGAAAGAAGAGAGGTTGGGTTTTGAAACTGGATAAGGAAAAAGTTTTAGACAAAGTAGATTGGAACTTTCTCTTGGAGGTTCGGAAGTGGATTGAGTGGATTAATGGTTGCATTAGGGGCAACAATTTTTCGGTTTTTTATCAATGTGAAATCGAGAGGAGAATTAAAGCTTCGAGAGGTTTGAGACAAGGAGACCGCCTTTCTCCTTTTCTATTCATTTTGATCAGTGATGTGCTTAGTATTTTGTTAGACAACATATACCTAAAGGGAGTCTTTGAGGGTTTTGTAGTTGGGAGGGATTCGATACATGTCTCCCAGTTACAGTTTGCCGACAACACACTATTGTTTTGCAAAGATGATGATGGGATGCTCAAGATCCTTTTTGATGCTGTTACGGCTTTGAGTGGTTGTCAGATCTTAAAGTTAATTGGGAGAAATCGTCGTTGTGTGGTATCAACATGGAAGATCAAAGGGTAGAGCAAGTTGCAAATTCCTTCTGTTGTAAAGTTGAACACCTTCCAATTATATATTTGGGTTTGCCTCTAGGAGGAAATCCTAAACTTGATTCGTTTTGGGCTCCAATCTAGGAAAGAATCTCTAAGAAGCTTGAACGTTGGAGGAGGTAACACTTATCAAAAGGTGGAAGATTGACTTTGTGCCAACATGTTCTTGGAAGCATCCCCTTTATTATCTTTCCATTTTTCAGGTTCCAATGAGGATCAGAAAACAAATTGAGCAGAAGATCCGTTCCTTCTTGTGGGGTGACTCCTCGGAAGCTTCATTGAGACACTTAGTTCGTTGGGACATTGCTTCTCTCCCTAGGGAAGCTAGTGGTTTGGGCATTGGCTGTATTCTTAAGCGAAACAGCGCGCTTTTATCTAAATGTGGCGTAGGGTGGTGGCCAGCTTATATGGTTCTGATTGTTTTAATTGGAATGCAATGCCTAAAATTCATGATTCAGGCCGTAGTCCTTGGAACAAAATCAACAATCAGTGGCTCAAGGTGGAGAAATTCTCTATTTTCAAATTAGGAAACGGTAAAAGAACGCTTTTTTGGCACCATTTGTGGATTGGTGAATCTCCTGTCATGGTAAGATTTCCTTCTATTTATAATATCTCGTCGTCTCCCTTTACTTCGGTTTCGGATGCTTGGGGTAGGGAGTCCTCTTCTTGGAATATTGTTACCATAAGGGGGTTGAAAGATGAAGAGTTTTCGGAGTTTTCGGAGTTACTATCATGTATTTCTTCCGTTACTCTTTCTGAAGAAAGTGATGCTCGTCGATGGAGCTTGGAAAATTCGAGACTTTTCTCAGTTTCCTCTCTTTGTAAGCTCGGAGGAGCTGATTTGCGATTTTCAAAAGCTCATTTATCTTCTCTTTGGAGTTCGGCCAGCCGAAAACGTGTAAACTTGTTAACTTGGATTCCCCTTCACGGCAAGGTTAATACAGCTGAGGTTCTACAAAAGAAGTCCCCTTATACGGCTTTACAGCCATCCATTTGTTTTTTATGTGCTGAACAGGGAGAACTTGAATCATGTGTTTTTCTTCTGTCCATATGCTTCTACATGTTGGTTTTCCTTCTTCCAGATGTTCAATTTGGCTTGGATTTGGGATGCTGTGGCTGCTAGAAACATTTTTCAGATTCTCCATAGAGTTAGATTGGAGCCTAAAGCTAATCTACTATGGATAATGGTTTTAAGGCGATTATTTCAGAGTTATGATTTGAAAGGAACCAAAGGATTTTCAAAGATTCCAGCCGTTCGTCAGTTGACTGCTTCAATATTATCAAATTTAAAGCTTCTCAATGGTGTGCTCTTTCCGATTCTTTCTTCCCCTATTCTCCTAATTTGATTTGTATGAATTGGGAGGCTTTTATAACTCCATTGTAGTTTTGTTCTGTTTTTATGCTTTCTCTTTTCACTCCTTGAACAATTTTGTTCCTTTTCATTTATCAATGAAAAGTTCGTATCTTGTTCAAAAAAAAAAATAAAATCATTGGCTTATGGCACACAAATGACAAGCTCTGGATATGCCTTGCATCAACCAACCTAATGAAAAAAAAAANAAAAAAAAAACTATAGTCTATAATTACATATTAATGAAAAGGAACAGATGGAATAATGATAGTTCCAGTATGGAGTTTGCTAAATTTTTAAGAGAATAGCTCAATGAGACTCAAGGTTCAAGTTCTAAAGGAAAATATAATACAGAAATTCACATGCATACTAAAAGCAAAATATAATTTCAGACATTTTCAATAATCTACCAAAAAGTAACTTATATGTATATAAACCATGTAAGTTATACTTATATCAAGGGGTAAAGTAACTTGAACTCAAAAATAATAAAAAATAAAATAAAATAGGTCGTAAAGTAGCTTACATGTTCGACCAGAATATCCAATATGGGTTGCAATATCATCATGCTTCCCAATGGTATCCAAAATTCCTGATTGCAAGTCATACCTAGAAAAGTTTTGTTGAGAGCCATTAACCATCACATAATGCTGCTATCATAAAACAGAACTTTTATCTTTATGCCACACCGCACGGAAAGGTAAAAAGAAGTACATGGAAATTTTTTAAGTTAACACTCAAGCAGGTCATGAACAGCAACGATAATAACTTTTTTAGAAACTATTGCAGGATAAAGTAACATAACCCAAAATACTAGTAATTTTTCTATTTTCCTCTTTTTGTTATAATACAATGTATTTATTTACATTAAACAAATAAATAATAGGTAGGATAATGCAAATAAGCATCCTCTTAGGAAATCAACCTACACATAATTTGACCATCTAGTTTGGAAAGAGACAAAAGGGGAAAAAACAGTATTTTTAATTAAGAACTTAGCTCTTTCCTAAACATTTTTTAAATCCTCACTTTTAAATTCAAATTCAGAGACTTGCCTTTCCTATCCAATTAAATGGGCAGAAAACCAGTGTACAATTCAGGTATAATTGCTTTAAAACATGGCATAGTCTTGTAAGTTCAACATCCAAAAATTTCAATCTGCACCACATTTTCAAGATAAGCAAGCATGTGATATCTCGTAACATCGACCCAGAAGAATTCAACAGTCAAAGTTTGTTCATCGAACCCCCAAACCTCCTTATGAAGCCATCAGAACCAGCGCTGAATGCCACCGACTCGTCCTGGAAGCAACAATCCAGAAGCGCAGCTTCGGAGGGAGCTTCAAGTCTGAGCGCAGAACTATCCACATCGTACAAGCGAAGACTCTGCGCAAAAGAACCAGAACTTCATTCAAAGTGAAGGAGAAGAAATGACACAAGTGTTAAACAAATTTCCAACACCAAAATGATCACTAACAGAGTCCCAGGAGGAAACAATGAGATTATTTGAATGGGGAGCGAATTGAATTGTGGAAATGGCATCTTGAAAATCCAGTAAAACCCTGTTCATTTCCATACCCGAGGACCGAGCTTAGTCCATCAAAAGAGGCGGGAAATGAAGGAATTGAACGAAATTTGAGTTGAATTTGGATAAAGACGAGCAGAGTGAAGAACACCGAGAATAATCCGAGCCGTTCGTTGTAGTATACTGAAGCGATTTTCGAAGCCCTAACCCGTTTTCTTCCTATAAATATATATTGTTATGTAAGATTTCTAACACGACGAGGATCCGTGGCGCAATGGTAGCGCGTCTGACTCCAGATCAGAAGGTTGCGTGTTCGATTCACGTCGGGTTCAATTTTCGGTTTTATTCCTGGATTTTTTCATCCCAAAATAACCAATCAATACGTACGTCAACATTACATAACGTTTCTGTTTGTCGGAAAAAAGAAAAAAGCAATGTTTATTCTAATACCAATTTTTAAATATTTTATTTAAATCTCATTTTTATGAACTTTTAAATTCAAAAAATTTAAATGATACGGCAACTTATATTAATTTTTTATTAGTTTTGCACACATGGCTTTTTTCTTTCCTTTTTTCTCTCTCACCCCTTATCCTTCCTTTCTTCTTCTCATTCTCCGGCAGCCTTCTCCTTTCTATTTTCTTCTTTTCTCAAGCTCCAGCGAGGGACACCACCGACCTCTAGTCATCGTCGTAGTACTCCCTCCCTTCATTGTCGCTCTCCCTCCTTCGAGATCTAATATGGCTTGTTCTATACCTGGTCAGGGACGGATGCACGTTGGGTCTAAAGAGCCCCTCAACTTCATAATGTATTCTTTTAATATATAAGTTGTGTCTAAGTGGTTAGGAAGTTGCCTAGTGCTGTAAAAATAATAATTATTATTATTATTATTATTATAACAATGATTCTTTGTGAGAAAAATATGGAGTGATATTTTACTTTTTTTTTTTTTGAATTGTGTAGTGATATTGTACATAAAAAAATATATATATTATAAACTTTTTAGTATTTTTTCTCTTTAATTATGAAAAAAATCAGCAGTGATATTATAGAAATAATATATATATATATTATTATTATGTTATGTTATAAACTTTTTAGTTTCTTTAAAAAATTGATATTTTTTAGTGTTAAATACAAATGGAAATGAATAAAAAATAAAAGATCTAACTAGCTTACTAAAATATTATTCTATTTTTAAAGTTTCAAATTTTTGGATCTTAGAAATTAAAACAATTAAGGGAGATGACACAAAGACGTTTTTAACGTGGTTCGGTTTCTCAACCTACCCTACGAGACCACGCCCAGAGAATAAGATTAACAATTAAAAGTTAGTACAATTTACAATCAATATTGACTTATGCATAAAAGAACTATCTTCTTAAATCATACTGCAATACTTGATCGACTCCTCCTTCAATTGAATCTTTTCAAACACAAGGTCTCCTTGACTTTTTAGTATTCTTTTTCTTTAATTATGAAAAAAGTCAGCAGTGATATTATAGAAATAATAATAATAATATATATGTTATAAACTTTTTAGTTTCTTTAAAAAATTGATATTCTTTTAGTGTTAAATACGAATGGAAATGAATAAAAAATAAAAGATCTAACTAGCTTTACTAAAATATTATTCTATTTTTAAAGTTTCAAACTTTTTTATCTTAGAAATTAAAACAATTAAGCGAGATGACACAAAGACGTTTTTAACGTGGTTCGGTTTCCCAACCTACTCCACGAGATTACGACCAGAGAATAAGATTAATAATCAAAAGTTAGTACAATTTACAATCAATATTGAGTTATGCATAAAAGAACTCCCTTCTTAAATCATACTACAATACTTGATCAACTCCTCTTCAATTGAATCTTTTGAAACACAAGCTCCCCTTGTGTGGTAGACCATCACTTGAACTCCCTTCAATAGTGGATGTGTCTTCTCCAATACTTGATAGAAATCTCACAAAAGAAAAATAACTCACAGAATTGCACTTATCGAATTACATAAAAATTATCTCTCAAAATTTTACACCATAAACAATGCTCGAACAATTTGAGAGAATAAAACAAACTTTGCTCCACATTCCTTCCTTGATATGTTCCAAGACTACCCAATAAATAGACAAGAAAAATTGACATGAGAAGAAAAGTGAATTTCTCACAATTTCAATTCAACCACAAATCTCTCCGTACAATTAAAATACAATTTTTATATAATCGATTAATAAAACATTCTAAGAAAGAAAACTAATCGTTGGAAACATTTAAGAGTTAAAATTCAAACATACAAATAAATTGAATTATACCCATAAAATAAATAGAGAAAATGATTAAATAAAACTTAATGTTTTTGTCAAAAATGCCAATAAATAAAATTCATTTTTCACGAATAGAAATGAATAAAAAATATTTTTAACTTCAGTAAATTATTTTATAAATAATTTATTGGCTAAAAATTCTATTATTCTTATAAAAAGATAAATTTTGATTTATTATTTCAATTTCATTATTTTTCTTCTATATTTACCTAGAAATTTTGTTCTATATGTCTTATTGCACAAAGTTAGTTGGATAAATAATAAGTTGTAGTAGTTCATAAACATTGACAGTTGTGTTTAATAGGTTCTTGAACTTTAAAAAATATCAAATGTGTCTCGTAACTTTCCTTTTTGCATCTAATAAATCCTTTAAATTTTATGTTTAATAAATCCTTAACCTATTAGACATTTTTTAAAGCTCAAGAATTTATTGGTTCAACTGACCTTACTTAACCGATTGTATTATTGTATCTTTTAGTTCAACGATTTATTAAGTTCATATTCTCTCTTAAAAAAAAAAGAAAAAATTTATTGGTTCAGAAACCTAATTATATATATGTGGACTTATTTGATGCAAAATTGTTTAATTTATTATAATTTTTTTTAAAGTTCAACCTATTAGACGTAGTATTGAAGCTTTAAGGGAAGAGCAGTTAACTTAACCAATTTAGTATCAAAATATATAAACTAAATACATATTGATGTGTTCGAATTATTTTTATACAATCTCTCGAACATAATGTTCTAGATCCACAATTTATAATTGTATTGTTCGAGACCAAGTTTGCTAAACATGTTTATTAAGTTTTGCATTAAGCCCCCTAAACGAAAATTTTGGATCCGACACTGCCTAGGGTGGTTGCGGTATGTAGGCGGCGGGTGGACGATAGGACTGAGAACAAGATGGTAGTATCGGGCATCTGCCAAAAGAGATATGTTTTAGATCTTGGAGGAGGGTGGGCATCGGTGAAGAGAGGAAGTACTACGACAGTTGGCACGGTGATGACTGAAAGGCCGGCGGAGACTGGGAGATTGACGGCGTCTAGGAGGTCTCCTTCGTTGGAGCTTAGGAAGAAGAAATAGGAAGTAGAAGTGAGCTGGAGAATGAGAATAAGAAAAGACGGAGAAGGGATGAGAGAGAAAGGTAGGGGCATGGAGGGAGAAAAAAAAAGAAGAAACCAGGGAAATTGGGGTTTTTGACCCCACCAATAGTTCAAATTGGATAAATGAACCCCTTTTTAAAAAACCTTGTATATGACCCCAACTTCCCTTAATTTTAACCTCTCTCCAAGCCAATTTACCATAGTACCCTCATGTTTAACCTCAAGTAAAACCCTAAACCCCATCTCGGACGTTTCCTAGCCCAACGAAAATTTCCACCCCATCTCGGACGTTTCCTTTGTCCTAAACCCTAAACCCCATCCCGGATTGAACGTTATCTCGGACGTTGGATGAGTCATCCACACCATCATCCATACGCTTCCAAGACTTTCTCTTCCATTGTTTCGTACTACGAAGTCATCGATCGCAAGGTTAGTGGTCTGGTAGATTAAAACAAAATTTTTAGAAACATCTGTTGTTCTGATATCATTATCGGTGCTATCTGAAGCAGCCATGTAGATCTAGGGTCATTTTCATGTTGTGCTTGCAGGACTGAGAAATTTGGGGAAAAAATCAATCTCTGATTCAATCCCGTATTCAATCCCGGATGAATTTGGTTCGGGATTTAATCCGGGATCGAGATGACGTTCTGCCTTCCATCTCGGATGTTTGTCCCGGATCGATATCAATCCCGGATGAGGCTGGAATGCCTTTCATCCCGGAACAAAATGGACCGGGATGGAAGGCAGAATGCAGACCCTTCGAAATTTCATTCTGCCTTCCATCCCGGACCTTATCCCGGTCCGTTAACAATACCCCTCTGAACTTCCCTTTTAGGTGGGCCCCATCGACAACCAACACTGGTCGAATACAAGCCAGAAACCCTCTAATCGATTGACCCAAAGCCATAAAGATATATTTGAAATATTTTCCATCTTTGAGTTCCAATTCGAAAATAGTACCTGGGTTCATGATTTTTAATGCTTCACCATAAGCTGGTAATAGACCGTATGACGATGCTGGATCCCCTTTAATAAGTCAAAGTGCTTCTTCACTGGACCGCCAAGCTTTGTCATAACTTAAATTCACACCATACTCCTTCCTCATGTCTTGTATTATGTCCTTCGGTCTATACGTGCGGGAGACATCTGTAAACTTGGCTTGGACAAGATGTCCGACCACCCAACTCTTGGCTTGCCTATGATCCTGTTTCAGAACTCCACCATTGCATGTATGGATGGTATAGTATTTTTTTTATCTTGAACATATTGCAGTCCCTCAGCTTTGTAGCTCGAAGTCTCCAGGTGCAACTAGTATCAACGCAGCGTAGTATATATAGTTCCGGTGTCGACTTTTCTACTTTAAACTGAAAATTCAGCCGCATTGCAACTAAATGCATTCTCAAACTCAACTCCTTCTTCGTATCAAATACTTCGCCCTCCTTAACATCATTTGTTCCAGAAGACTGTACCATGAGTTGCAACTTCTCATCATTAGGCTGTCCAATGAGACCATCACACCCCATTTGTTGGACCGCTGCTTCATCCCTACGAATCTCAGCTTATACCTGTTCCACATCGGGCTCAGACTCTTCATCAAGTGCATCGTCATAGTCATCATTCACAATTCTGCTTCATAGTCTCCTTCTTCTGACTCTCACAACGGGTCATATGATTCATCACTTTCATCTTGATTATCATTCCATAATCCCGACACATTCCAATCACATACCCTGTCATCTCCTAGGTTAC